CCCCAAAAATCCCCCAAAAAATCCCCAAAAATGCAAAAAAATTCCCCAAAAAATCCCCCAAAAATCCAAAAAAAATTCCAAAAAAAATCGCAAAAAATAAAAAAAAAATCCCCAAAATTCCCCCAAGCCCTCAGGAATTTTAGGAATTTTTTGGGAATTCTGGGAATCTCTCACCGTTGGCGTGGCCGAGGTGGACGACGCCGCTGGCCGGGTTCTGGGCCACGGCGCCGGCGCGGCCGTTCCGGGTTCGGAGCGCGGCCACTTCCCGACCCACCGAGATGTCCAGGAAATGCAACAGCCCCAGCTCGCTCTGCAGGGGGGAAAAACGGGAAAAGTCGGGAAAAAAGTCGGGAAAAGTGGGGGAAAAGTCGGGAAAAGGGGAGGAAAATTCGGGAAAAGGGGGAAAAACTACGGAAAATGGGGGAAAAGTTGGGGAAAAGGGGAAAAATGGGGGAAAAGGGGAAAAAACTTTGGAAAAGGGTGAAAAAAACAGGGAAAAGGGGAGAAAAATTCGGGAAAAGGGGGGAAAATGGGGAAATAAAGGGGGGAAAGGGGGAAAAAACTCCGGAAAATGGGGGAAAAAGGGGGGAAAATGTGGGAAAAGTTGGGAAAAGGGGAGAAAAATTCGGGAAAAGGGGGAAAAATGGGGGAAAAGGGGAAAAACTCTGGAAAATGGGGGAAAAGGGGGGGAAAATGTGGGAAAAGTTGGGAAAAAAGTCGGGAAAAGGGGGGGAAAAGTTGGGAAAAGGGGAGGAAAATTCGGGAAAAGGGGGAAAAATGGGGGAAAAAACTCTGGAAAATGGGGGAAAAAGGGGGAAAAATGTGGGAAAAGTTGGGAAAAGGGGAGAAAAATTCGGGAAAAGGGGGGAAAATGGGGAAAAAAAGGGGGGAAAGGGGGAAAAAACTCTGGAAAATGGGGGAAAAAGGGGGAAAAATGTGGGAAAAGTTGGGAAAAGGGGAGAAAAATTCGGGAAAAGGGGGAAAAATGGGGGAAAAAACTCTGGAAAATGGAGAAAAAAGGGGGAGAAAATGTGGGAAAAGGAGAAAAAACTGGGGAAAAATGGGAAAAACTTGGGAAAAGGGGAAAAATTTGGGGAAACGGGGAAAAAAGTCAGGACAAGGGGGAAAAATGGAGGGAAAAGTTGGGAAAAAAAATCAGGAAAAGGGGGAAAACATCAGGAAAAGAGGGAAAAAACAAGGGAAAAGTGGGAAAACTCAGGAAAAGGGGGAAAAATGGGGAAAAAAATCCCTCAGATTTGGTTAAAAACGGCTCAAAATGGGGGAAAATCAGCCAGGAATGGTAAAAAAGGGACAAAAATGGCCAAAAATGGGTAAAAATGATCAAAAACCACCCCAAAAAGAGAAAAAAAATGATGAAAAATCCCCCAAATTTGGTTAAAAGCTGCTCAAAATGGGGGAAAATCCTCCAGGAATGGTAAAAAAGGGACAAAAATGGA